TCTTTCAGATCGTTTATTAATTGCTGCAGTTCATCAGCTGATTCACTAAGGAGAACAATGTCGTCTGCAAATCTTAGGTTGTTTAGGTGTTCGTCTCCTATTTTGATACCCTTCCCTTCCCATTCTAGTTTCTTGAATATTTCCTCGAGGCAGGCTGTAAACAGCTTTGGTGAGATGGTGTCGCCCTGTCTAACGCCTTTTTGAATTGGTATTTTATCGGTTTCTGTGTGGAGTTTGATGGTTGCTGTCCCATCTTTGTATATATCTTCCAATATATTACATATACCTCCTCAACTCCCTGTTGTTGAATAGCACCTAATACTGATGGTATTTGTACAGAGTCAAATGCCTTTTCATAATCGATGAATGCCATACACAGGGGTTTCCTATATTCGTTTACTTTTTCTCTTATTTGGGTGAGCGTGTGGATGTGATCTGTTGTTGAGAATCCGCTGCGGAAGCCTGCCTGTTCTCTAGGCTGGCTGGAATCCAGACTGTCAGAGATGCGAGCTGTAATGACTTTCGTGAACAGTTTGTAAGTAACCGAAAGGAGGCTTATGGGTCGGTAATTTTTAAAATTCTTTTTATCGCCTTTTTTGTGTAACAAGATAATTGTTGCATTTTTCCAGGCTTTCGGAGTTTTTCCGCTGTTAAAAAGATTAGCTAGTTTCACTGTTGCGATGTCTCCTGCATCTAATATGAGGTCTATACTAATTCCGTCTTCGCCTGGTGTTTTCCCTCTCTTCATGCCTTTAAGTGCTCTTTTTATTTCTTCTTTTGTGATATTAGGTACGTCTCTAGTTACCGTGTTTGCTTCTATTTGTGGCTGTTCGTTTGAGTTGTATAGATCCCTCTAAAAGTCTTCCACTACTTTGATGATTTCATTCTTGTTATGTGTTACTTCTCCGTCTGGTTTCTTAATTGCATACATTTGATTTCTCCCTATTCCTAGTCTTTTTTAGCTGCTTTCATGCTGGTACCTGAAATCACTGCTTCACATATTATTTGAGTATTGAATTTCCGTACATCTTCCCTCTTCTTTTTATTTATGGTCTTTGTTAGTTCAACCAATTCTATCTTGTCCCTATTTGACGATACTTTCATGCCTCTACGTTTTTGCATAAGCTGTTTAGTTTCTACCGAGAGCTTGCTGGAGCTTCGATTGTCGTTCTTGCCGCCTACTTCAAGTGCAGCTTCTTTTATTATATCATTGAACTGTTATTGATTTGGTCGATGTTGAGATCTTCGTCGCGGAGGAGTGAATATCTGTTTTGGATGTTTAGGCTAAATTCTGTTGCTCTGATCTTCAAGTTAGCCAAGTTTGGCTGTGGTTTACACATTAGTTTGTTCCTTTCCCTTCTGAGATGTATTTTAATTTCGCCTCTCACCATTCTATGGTCGCTGCCTACATTTACTTTATTTATAACCTCTACATTTTTTATTATATCGCGCCTATTTGAAATTATGAAGTCAATTTCGTTTTTGACGTCAGATGGCGACTTCCATGTCCACTTCCGTTCTAGTCTTTTTTCGAAGAATGTATTCATGATACTGAGTGATCGAGCCTCCGCAAAGTCGACTAGCATTTGTCCCCTCTCGTTCCTAGTGCCTATTCCATGGTTCCCTACTGCGGTTTCGCCTTGTCTTTTTTACCTATTTTGGCATTAAAATCCCCCATAATTATTGTGAAATGGGTTTTTGTTCTCTCGCTGGCTAATGAACATCTTCATAGAAGCTCTCTATTTCTTCATCACTGTGGCTGCAGGTTGGAGCATAGACTTGAATAATTTTTAAGTTGTACCTAGTGTTTAGTTTTATTGTTACAGAAGCCACTCTTTCGCTGACACTATAGAATTCTACGATGTTCTTTTCTAAGCGTTTGTGTATTAAGAATCCTACCCCTAATTCCTGTTTGCTACCCAGAGGTTTCCTCTCCAATAGAGCACGTGTCCCTCATTTATTAACTTCTGCTCTTCGCTAGTCTTCTAACTTCGCAGAATCCTACTACATCCCATTTAATGGAAGAGAGTTCCTCTAGTAAAGCTAGTAAGTCGGATTCAGTTCTCATGGTCCTTATATTGTATGTGCAAATGTTCATCAACGTGGGGCGGCCTGTCTTTACCCGGATATTTTTAGCACCCCTGCTCCGGAGCGATCCTGATCGCCGCCGTAACCAGGGGCTCCTTCGCCTCCGGGGAATGGGGGCCATGGCTGGATGCGTCTTTTCATGGAGGTGGACAGCCGATTTACCTCCCACCTACTGGCTTAGGTGTATCTTGGTGGAGGGGAGTAATTTAGCCGGAATGCCATTGATAAGTCCCCCAGCAGGTTTGGTCCTACCTGGTGAGGACTTAGGAGCAACAGTGCACGGCCTGCTCACTACTCCCGTGAGCTGGGCTTAATTATTAGAAGGGCATATATGTTTGATTTTTATTTTATTTATTAACTTCATTTGTGCGTATGTGCACCTGATGCAGACATATTCATTCCCGCACATGCTCTAAGTACTACGCATATGCTCATTCCCCATATGCATATGCAAGCATACACCTTTATTCTTGTACTTATGCTTATGGATATGGATACTTATTCTTACGTTAAATAATAAACATACATGTCCATCATAGTCTGACCTAGGCATATGTTCACATCGACTGTCCCCTTATGCGCTTGTTATATGTTATTGATAAGTGAGTGAGTATATACATGAGTGTATACTCACCGTGTATATGTAAACACCCTTTTTGCATACCTCGCAAACCTACATATCACTATACATACGCATGTATCTATCCCTGCATGTGCTCACGCATCCATGTATGAGCACATACATCTGCAGCATACACTAGTGTCCCCCCCTCCTGTATATATGTGTATATATCTGTACTTGCTTTACATATAACTACCTCTACGTACATACATACGTACATACATACATACATATACTTACGTATTTATCCACCTTCCTACATCCTGCACACACCTATATACGTATACCTATACATATACACATAAATACCTCCATAAGTCTACCTATACATTCACCCACGCATACACATTACACGTACATTATATATACCTATATACACATATACACATATATACATGCTTATATACACATGTATATGTACACATTCATACATGAATATATACACCATATGTACACATATGCATATTTACGCCTTTTAAACCCATGTATGCCTCATGTATAAGCACGGAAACATACCCATACATAATGTACTTTATCACAAAGCTATATGGAAGCTTATAGCCTTACGTAGACAAACAGTAGCATACATACCCATGTATCCGCACATGAATTTAAACTCGCCTACACTCATATGAACCTGTACACATATATACGCATGTACATGCGCACATATGCACCTGCGCGCTTTCGTGCCTACGCGCACGAACGTATGAACCGTGCCTGCATAGGCGCACACACGCACTCCATTATAAATGAGCCCATGCATTATAATGTCCTTAAATTGTAGTGTGCAGCAGAGGAATTGAGGGAAGGATGCGGGTGTTGTGGGAGGATTTAGGATGATATTGGAGGGGGTAAGGATGGGGTTTGGGATAAAGGGAGTTATAAGGGTGATTTTGTATCTGGCAATTTTTCGGAGCGGCGTCGCAATCCTTAGCTGTTGTTAAGCCTAACGGGGTGCGGCCTCGGCTGACCACAGGTCATGGGGTCGGCGTCTGGCGCTCATCTGAGGTGCCAAAGCTTGAATTACGCTTTATTATTACTTGATTTATCAGGCGTTTCTTCTGTCGAATGGCAGATGATGCTTTACGCTTTATGGAACCATTTTTAAACATATATATATATATAATATATAATATATATATATATATATATATTATATAATATATGTATGTATGTATGTATACACACACACACACACACACACACACACACACCACACACACACACACACACATATAATATATATAATATATATATATATATATATATATATATATATATATATATATATATATATATGCATATGTGTGTGTGTGTTGTGTGTGTGTGCACTACACTGAATATATATATATATATATATATATATATATATATATATAATATATATGTATATATGTGTGTGTGTGTGTGTGTGTGTGTGTGTGTGTGTGTGTGTGTTGTGTGTGTGTGTATGAGAACCGAATTTTTCGTATAAGGACTATAAAACTGTTTCTACTCAACTTTTAACAATACTAATTGTAAGGTGGGAAGCATGACGTGACGGTCTTAAGGCTAGTGGGGTGGATTGAAATCATTTCTCAGTTGAGTTTTTGTCAAAGCTACACTGGTCATGCGGTCGGTTTGTCAGAATTGTGGGAGGCCCGACCCACAGAATATTCGACTCTCTGCTGCTAACTGAATTCAGATCCAAGGTTAACTTCGAAACTAGCGTGAGACGGGTCCCCAATCCACTGGTATCTCTGTTATTTTCTCGTATATAAACAAATTGATTCCTTCTTTTTAACATTATTGATCTCCCTTCCTTTACTCTGATAGATAATTCAATTTGCAACCTATTCCTCGATACCACCGGAACTGTCTGTATAGATATAATTATTAGAAACAGTGTACGTATATCATATATGCCTTGTCAATGTAACGTTTTATTTGTAGGCGTAAAGCGTAAAACACGAAGTAAGTGGTGAAAGCCCTGCATACTACTGTCGTCTTATAGCCATGGTCCTCGAACATTCCAGGCAGCCAACTCAGCCAATCAAAGGGCGAGACAACTGAGCCTGAGGATACTGCAGGTTGCATTTGTTTTGTCCTGCACCTGCCCATTTGTACTTAACGTGTGTGGTATTTTGCATCAATAAAGCTCCTTGCAACTTGAGTTTTAAATAGCCTACGGACGAAAGAACCCAGAAGACTGTCTCTTCTATGACTAACTTCATTGCTGTATCCACGGTCTAAAAATAAATAAATAAATAAATTTCCTAACAACGAAGCGTAGATATAAACATGACGTTGTTCACTTTTCTCAACCTTCTTTCTGTGTTCTGGTCGAAGCAACAATTCGTCTGATTATCACAGTCCAGTACACAGGGATTCCATGATTGTGTTAATCCATTTACTAAGCATTGCAATCTACAATATCAGGGTAAGACACGACTTTCAATACCAACACGTACTTACCTGTGTTCGGAGCGACAAAATAATTTCGTCTGAAGGAAAACCGTGAAGATCGTCTCCTTATTACTTCCCTCCTTAAATTAACATTTAAGCAAACCAGCCATTTATACATAAACATACAAATTTACTCTGTAGGTTATAACTCTAATTTTATTCTAAACGTTTCCAAATGGATCCAAACTTCTTTACAGTTATATACAGCGTATCCTTTAAATATTGAACCAATATTGATCTGACATAGAAATTTATCTCGCATAAGAACATAATGATAATAGTAGTAGTAGTAGTAACAATAATAATGATGATAATATTGATAAATAGTTATAATAATGGTAATAATGGTGATAATAGTAAAGTGATAGAAAACAATGGTTGATGACAATGATAAGGATAATAATGATGATATTAGTGATAATGATAACGATGATTATAATTATTATCATTATTGTTGTTGCTGTTACCATGATTAGAATTATGATGATAATTATAATGATGACAATTATGATAATGACAATAATAATGATTATAATGATACTGATAATAATGACAATGAAAATTAGACTCAGTAATGATGATAATAGGTGATAAAAATCATAATTATATTAGTAATGATGATGATAATAAAAAAAAATAATAATGATGGTGATGATGATGATAGTGATAGAGATAATGAATATATATAGGAGGAAGAAGAATGATAATAAGAGTAATGATAATGATAACGAAGATAATGATAATCATCATAGTGATGATAGTAATGATAACAATACTAATAATAACAATGATAGTAATTCTAATGATGATTATTAGTTATAATAACTATAATAATAATGAGGATGATAATGATAATAATAACAATATTGATGATGATAGTGATGGAAATAATGATAATGATATTAATAATAAAAAAGATATTGAGTGTGTGAAAAAGAGAGAAGGAGGGAAGAGATGGAGGGAGGGAAGAAGGATAGAGAGAGAAACATAGATAAAGATATGTGTATAGATAGACAGAAAGTGTACACATGGATAAAGTGGAGGCCTTGTAAAAAAAAAATAATAATAAATAAAAAAAATAATAGGATAACCTTTCTCTTTTTTTCTTCTTTTGTTTTTTTCTTGTGTTTAAACTGCCTGTAGAGAGATTTTCTTCGTCTTCCAAAGTATTTTGTTTAAGTAAAACAAAACATATGTGCTAAACTAGTTCAGAGAGAGTAACAATGGATAAAGATATGGTATATTTGATCAGAAAATTTGTGTACAAATAGAAAGATTACCAGTAAAATACCGTCTCTTTTTTTCCTTAAAAACTAAAATAAACATAATAATAATGTTTTTAAATAAAATCATAATATTTGCTAATATCTCTTTTTGATTTTATGTAAAATCTGTTAATTTTATTAACTACTTTAACAACCCTATGAGTTTAAAAGGAATTATTCTGGTCGCTTAGCCATGTTGAAATCGCCAAATAAAATGAGAATAGTATAACCCTATAAAAACCCTAAGATAAACAATCTGCAGACAACCGTGAAAAAATCGTAGATCATGTCTTCATGTTCATACGTCACTAGTTCAGACTATGATTGTATTTAGGTTAACAGGAAAGTTTGGGAAACACACAGAAACCTGAGAATAGTTTCTTCCTAACTTTTGATCCAATGAGATATCGTGGCCGTCATTGATGTTTTTTTTTTTTTTTTTTTTTTTCGACTGTACTTTTTTCTTAGAAATGTTCCTAATTCCTGAAGATTAAATGTTTATGGGAAAAAGTTAACGAATGCGGGAGGAGAAAGGTGATAATTCCAATGTTAAAGTAGAAAAGAAAAAAAGGTGTAGTGGTTTGAAATTTACATTGCGCATTTAATCAGAATCGCTTTAATGTTACGCAAAATATTACGCAAAATATTTTATTCAAGTTTTATTTAAAGCGTAGAAAATTCAATAAAATACTATCTACATCGTAGGAGACTACCTAGAGACGAGAATTTTACCTACGTATAACTTGCTTTCGCTGCAAATTGTGTTTGCAAACTCTCAAAGAACTTGGTATTTGAATAAATCATGACTGCGTTTGGAGGATCACTTCACGGAGGAAAGTAATTTTGAAATGAGTTATGATCGTGGTCTATCTGTTCATTCAATTTATCTATTTATTCATCTACAATATGTATGTATATGTATATGCGTGTCAATATATATGTGTGTGTGTGTGTGCGTGTGTGTATGTGTGTCTCTGCATATGTGTGTGTGTTATAATTATCATCACCATTATCACTGTCCTTATCATTATTGCTGTTGTTGATGTTATTACTTCCAACATTATTGTTATTACTACCATTATAATTGTTGTTCTTATTTATTTTATTTATTGTTATCATATTACTAGTATCAGCAGCAGCATTATTATCAATATTATTATTATTGATATCGTTATCATCATTACAATTGTTACTATCATTGTCCTTTTCATTCATCTTTATATCATTAATAATAATTTAATCGTTATTATTATTGATCACTCGCCGGAGGTTCTGACTCTTGCCTTCTGCAGCAGCTGACGGAGGACGACGCTTGGCAAGGCTGCGCGATGGCCTCCCACACCTTGACCCTGCAGGTAAAGGCCAGGAAGATGAACACGCCCTGCAGAGTGTTCAACAGGATGAACACGTACCACAGCACTTCCAGCTCCAGGTACGAGGCCACCACCGAAGTGATCCACGTGATCCCCATCAGGACGGCCAGCCGGAGGTACAGGAGGAACTCCTTCTTCGGCTCACTCGGGGACGTCCTCCGCACCTCCGACTGCATCGTCTTGGCGATGCTGACTGTCGTGGCGACGAACAAAGCCACGTTCATGACGATGCTGGCGATCAGGGGAGCGCCGAAGAACGCCAGCAAGGCCTTGCGTCGCCCGAACCAGCACAGGTGCTGCCCAAGACTCGGAAGGAATTCCGGGGGGAACCCGGGGGGCCTCGTCTGGTCCACCGCTACCACCGCAGCGACGGCGCACGCGGGAAGCACCCACCCGTACGCAGAATACACTAAGAACCTCTTCCACTGTTCTCCGGACCTCACTCTGCTTCGCCTGAACGTGTAAAACACATCGAAGCCCAAGACGTTCATCCACGAGAACGACGTGAGAAACAAGTAGTAGATGAGAACCGCGAACACGTAGCATTCCGTCGTCGATGTCTCGGCGAAAACGCTGAGGATGTACGAGACGTAGGCCCCGAGGAGCGACAGAAAGATGTTCCTGCCGTGAAGGTCCTGAGTGAGGCACGAGGGCGAAGGCACCAAGTGCAGCACAAGGCACAGGGAGGACGCGCTCAGACCAGCCAGCGTCACCCACCCCATGGCGGCCGAGTATTTGTCGGACGCGAAGGAACACACCAAAACTCCTTCTTCCACAACCTCGTACTCCCCAGGATAGTAAGTGCGATTAGACACTTTTATAACCACAGTGTCGTTGACCATAATATAATCGTCCTTGAGAATCGTCTCGTTTCTACAGGTTCCGTCGCTAAGACAAGGGACAGTGGCATTGCCTGCTGTGTCTGGATGAATCAGGTCCTCTTTAACGGCAACTTCATCTAGATTCCTATACTTCTTGCAGAACGAATCCAAGACACACTTTTTCCTACATTGTTATTACCGTTTCCGCTCCTGTAATCAGCCAGTACTGTAAAAGGAATAGGGATGGTGCTAGACATAGGATAAACGGAAGGGTATTTCCAGGAATAACATCCTACGTAGGTACTAAACACATTGTAAATAGCACAAAAGCTATTCTTGTAAATTTCCCCATTTATGTTTACGTGAGATGTGTATGAATGACAAAGTTTTTCTGTCGTTTCATCGTCCCAATTTTCCATGTACTTGTCTACAACAAGTCTGCACGATCTCCCGGGGAATTTCCAAATGTTTCCGAGGGAGAGTGTCAGATTACATTTGTGCACTTCTTGCTCACTGCCATTCACAACTACTCCCCACTGGCCCTCTCGAA